CAACTTGAACAAGCCCATGTTGAGATAGTTAAAACATGTGGAAGTTGTCAGGTAAAACCTTTTAATAAAGCTTTTTAAAGTATTGAATATATTTTAATATTGTCTTACTAAGTTTATAATAAGTTCCTCTTTTTCTTCAACATCCATTTATAAACTAAACTGGGTCAACCTTTATATTCAATGAAATATCTGGAGCTATGTTCCTGGAGTTGAGTGGGAAGTCATATATGTGTAAGTTTCTTTTAATAAGTTTTGGGCATTAACTAATAAAAGCATCAATATTTCTATCATATATCTATACTGGAAAAACATTTTACTACATTTCACTTATAGCTATTGGAAATTGGTATAAATATGTGTATGTAATATGTATATCGTTGTTAAGTGGGAGTTCACCTCTAGCTCCTTCTATTAGTTTCTTTCTAGCTGGTTGAGAGTAAGGATCAGCCTTCAGTAAGCTTGATGCATCCTCCAGTAGCTTAGAGGCCATCTCCACCCTTTGAAGTGCTGTAGGCATGTCTTGCCTTAAGATCTGGTCATCACTGCTATTAATTGTGTCACGTCCAACCTTGCAGAAAAAATTTATTCAGTTTACAGATCTGAATAATGTTTTAAAAAAACAGTAATCATATGACAAACTGCATGCAAAAGCCAGTACACATTTTATCAAGCACCATCATGCACATGTATATCATATTATAAATACCTTTCTAACAAGTACTGAAAACAAATACAGAAAAATTCAATTACCCATAAATTATAGAACAATACAAATAATGCAAATGACAGTACATCAATATCATATACCTAACCTAAATTATTCACCAAAATCACAGTATTATGTCTCATTGTTTATTGAAAAACAACCTAAAATATCCACCACTTGAACCAGAAAAAAGTTGTGTAAAATGGATATTACCAAAGCAATAACTTGATAAATTTTTCACCACCTAAAAGCATACAGATATCTTACATCTTATAAAAGTTAACATTTTCCTTCAATGAAATCCATTTCCATTAGATACTTGCCTCCACTTACATAATAGCTTTCTTGACTTGTACTGAGGGAAGGGGAAGATATGACATGGGAAACGATCCCTCAAAAGAAAAGTAGAAGACAGGGCCCTGCAGACATATGAACAAAAAAGACCCAAATGAATGAGAACCAAAATGGGTGTGAGATGTGACTCCTCCAAGTTTAGCCAATCAAGCCAGATGCACCATCTACCAAAGAGGGAGAAGAGGATGTCTATAGGAAGCTTGTTGGGACAGAGCCAAATGAAAAAAAAAAAGCATCTAAGATGTCCACCTTGGGCATCCTCCAATTAGAGCCAATCAACCCAGATGCACCATCTACCAAAGGGGAAGAAGGGGATGTCTGTAGGAGGCTTGTTGGGACAGAGCCAAATGAGAAAAGAAGCTTCCAAGATATCCACCTTGGTCATACCATGACCTGGGGTGACAGATCACCATAGAGTGAAAAATACCTCATGAGAAAATGAGGTAAAATGAAAGATACAAAAGGTGTTATCACCCATGGAGGAACAAACAAGCTTGATGACTTGTTTCATCCAAATGGTCAAAGTGAAAGGAAATAAATCATGAGAAGAAGAATCCCACAGTAAAATAAGACAATGTCAACTACCTCTAACAAGAACAAAGTAAGAACAAACTGTCCAACAGGACAACGGACACTATTTTTCAGACCCTAGATGATTGAAGCAAACATCTAATCAACCCAACAGAGCAGAAGCAACCAGGGAATAAAATAAACTTGTTCTTGTGGTAAAGTATGTGTGAAGTATCCAAGAAAAAATGTCAGAGTGACATTTGCTTTAAGTAGGAAGAAGAATAAAATGTCTTAAAAGTCGATACAGGGAATGGGTAGCTAAAGGTTTGAATGAAGAATTTATAAGAGCCTTGAAAACTAAACAGAGGTTACAATGCAGAAGAGGAACTGGATGAGCTGGGCAACTGCTTAGAGAGGCTCAGAAGAGGCCAATGAGAACGGGATAAAAAAAAAGAGAAGGACCAGGGAAACTACAAAAGGTCATAAGCAAAGCCGATCTGTAACAGATGACCATAGAAACAAATAGACTGCCCTTGAAAAAACAAGGTAAAAAGGAATTGAGATAAGGAAGAGTCAGACAAACTGGAAGAAAGGAGTGTTAAATGGAACAGCATCAATAAACCATCCACTAGCATTTATAAATTACAAGGGTGGATGGTTGACAAGACTGAGCAAGTAAGCAGGCTATTCTGCAAGAAAATCTTGTCTTGCAAGAGACCATATAAAACCATACATGAAGATGAAGATGTCACAGATCATGGTAACTAATGTACGTCAGAGGCTAATATAAAAGGGATATCCAAGATGGAAGAGGAATAAGCTCCTTGGAAGCCAAGATACAAAGATTTGTTCTTTTTATAGTTTAGCACAAAGATAAATAATGGGCTATCTGTGCTGTGCCAACCATAGGTATCGAAACCTAAATTTCAGTTGTATAATCCCAGTCTTATTACTGAGCCACTGGGGGCATGAGGCAAAGAAGTGGTGACCATGAGTGAGCAGACCAATGGAGCAAAGAAAAGAACTTGGCATTGAGTACTGCAAATCAGAACAAGAGACAACAACCTGGTAAAAAGTCAAAGAGGAGGATTGGCATAATTAAAAAGATTGGACCAATCCTGACTCTGAGCATCTGCAGTCAAAGCTGAAGAATTAAGGACTGGTGACCATAAGAGAAAAAGTTGGGTGTCAACATGAGTCTCAAAGGCATCAATAACAAGACTCCCACAAATTGAACAAAATCACTGAAATACTAAAGGATGTAAGAACCACTCCAAGAGTAGGATAGATTTGTTCTGAGTAAGACTGCTGATTCATCAAGAAGTTTAAAGCTCCCAAGACATAGTAAGCCAACAAATGAAGTGATGGTTGTGAACCCAAAAAAGAAAATATAGAACAAAAAAGCAAAAGTCCTAGGATCAAGTAACATCCTTGACAGTTCCTGTAAGAAATGACCATTGAAGTTGTCCAAGTGGATCATGACAAGATGTACATTCAGACAAGACAAAATATAATATCAGGTCTACTGAGCTGCAAATATTTTGAGGATGTTGATATGGATAAATCACTCCTCTAAAGAACACACACCAAAATTAATGCATGTGTCAAGAACCATAAGCTACCCAGACAGAGAGACATCTGTAAACAGATGAAAGTCCAGTAAAGATGGAAGAAAAATACCTAGGATCATGTGGAACCAAGACAGTGAATTATTGAATATACTCCACTGATCTGCCAGAGTCTATTGAAGAGGAGGCAAATGAGAACATCCAGGGGAAATAAGGGGCTGAAGAGAAGATAGCTCTCCAAAGAGACAGAACCTCACATGCAGGAAGAGCAGACATGAGAACTTTGGTAACAAAAAGGTTTATGTCTCAAAGACATGAAGGATATGGCTGAGTCTACCCCATAAACAAGTTGTGAAAGACCCCAACTGAATCAGATAATAGGTGGAAGTCAACAATGACTTGAAGAAGTTGACCAGTCAACTAAAACAATATGACTTCTGAAGGAGAAGGGAGGTAGCACCAGAGGATGCCTCTCTGGATGGGGTGAGAAGGAGCCAGTCATTCATATTAGTGAAAGTGTTGGCCAAACAAATGCATTCCCTGGGCAAAAGTCTTCTAAACCCAGTTAAAAAAGGGCCATAACCAACCCAAGGGTAAAACCTTAAATTCAAAAACCTGGCCACTGTGGATGAAATGAAGGAAGTAATGTGAAGAAAAGCATCTGAAGATTGACTTTAGTCATCCACAATCAAGGATAGAACACTCACCTCAGATCAAGAAAACCTTCCATCTTAACTGAATGAGGATAAGAAACTGGTTCACAGGTGATATATCTATGATATGTCACCATTTTCCTGTCTTCTCAGGAACAGCAAAAAAGATAAGAGTAAAACCCCAGACTGAGATGATGTTTATTTCCTGCAGGTAAGAGACAGCCTCCTCCAAGCAGCAAACATGCAAGGGAGCTGAGAGAGAGCAGAAAGTCATCAGGAAAAGAAGAAAGAGGAAGTTCAGAGTGGAAATACAAGGGAAGCCCTGAAAAAGTACCTGTGTGACCCAAGGTCCCTCTGTAAAGAGAATACACAAGTGTGCAAAGTGGAAGAGTCAAACTTCCAGAAGATAAGAGTGAAGAGAAGGCTGCAGAATCAAGCCATCTCCAAGATTCATGAGAGACAGCCCTTAGAAAGGGGGAATGTCTGAGAGTGGCGAGAGTACAAGTAGCAAAAGAGTAGTGACCTTACAAGTCTTGCAACAAAAAGAGAAACCTGTTGAGACCTCCTGAACCAAGATAAGCAGTTAATCAAAATGAGAAGAGATGACTGCTGATGAGCTGTCTCATATTATGGTTGCAAACAGTAAGGAACTTACCCAAAATGACACAGATAAAGGAATGGTAAATAGGTTGTTTAAATTTGGTGATGGGTGTTGCTGCTGTGAGGAATTATAGCATGTGGAGTATCTATTTGAATTATGAATATAAGTTTGATGGGAATGACCTTAACAGTGTTATGGAAGAAAAAGTTCTCAGGGTTCTGGCTCATCAGTCTCTTAAGCCATTCAGGCAATGTGATGTTGTTAGTAAAAGGATCTTAGGTTGTATCAACAGAAATATTGAATACAGGTCTAAAGAGGTTATAATGTCATTGTATTGGTCACTGGTTAGGCCACATTCGGGACACTATATACAGTCTTCCACTCATTATCTCAAATAGGACTCTGAATTGTTGGAAAGGGTTCAGAGGATGGCTACTACGATGTTGCCTGGGATACAAAGGTTGTCATATGAGGATAAGCTAAATTCTCTGAACTTGTTTTCTGTTGAAAAAAGAAGAGTTAGATGGGATCTGATTGATGTACTTAAGATTGTTAAAATAATTAATAGTGTTGATGCTTCACCTGTTTTTGTATTTAACAGTAAGAACAGTAAGACTAGGGGACACAAATATAAATTTTGGCAAGGTAGGAGTCATCTTCAGCAAAGACAGTTTCATTTTTCTAACAGGGTGGTTGGTCTTTGGAATGGGTTGCCTTTGGATGTTGTAGAAGCAGTAAATTTAAGTGAGTTTACAAAAAAGCTTGATAAGTATATGAATAATAAGGCTGGCTTTAAGATTTTTTTTTATATATTATTTTAATTTAGTTTGGAGGATGAAACTGCCGAGATGGACCAATAGGTCCCATGTTGTCCCAAAACAAAACATCGTGTTATACTGTTGTTGATGCAGTTAATTTAGGGGAATTTAAGGGAAAGCTTGACAAATATTTGAATAATAAGGGCTGGGTTTGAGTTTGTTTGTGCTAATTTAATTTAGTGGAAAGGAGAGTCTAGATGAACCCAAAGGTCCCTTGTTGTCCTTTAATGTTAAATTATAAAAATCTCATCTTAAAGGAAGGATGCCACAAGGAGTTCCCCCAAATAAGAGGGAGTATAATTAAAAAAAGTAAGGAGTCCTCCCAAGCAAATTCCAGAAACAAAGAAATCAAATTCAC